TACAGTGAAATTTGAACTCATTTTATAAACGTGTTGATGCATAATTTGTTTCAAATTTAATATAATTGTCCTTTAAAAAAGTACAGTTAATCTCTGTAAAGGAAACATCACATGTTGTTTATAAAGCTTTTTTTTTCAGTTTTGCACAAGTGTGTCTTATACTGAAAGGGAACAGTAAAATATGCTAAGCCACTGAGATGAGATAAACATAAAATAAATCGTCACTGTTGTTTAAAAAATAACAGTGGCTATGATTAAATTTATTTTAATGAAATTATCATTTATCTTAGCGTTTTAAGATGACATGAATCTTGGGTGGAGCTTACATAATCTCCTGACATTTGTTGTCCCTCATGAGGGCATTTATTTTATTTTATTTTATTTTATTAACTGTTCTATATTTTTGTTCTAATAATTCAATTAACTAAGAGAAAACAACACAAATCAAAAGCTAGATTAATCACAGCTAATACTTGCATCTCAAGCAAACACCGGATGTTTTTAGCATACTTTTAAAGCTTTTTTTGTTTTTTAGTTGATGCTTTTTTCAAGAATGGCAAGCACAACAGAACAACTCTTTTATTTTTTTTCGCGCACACATCCCTAACTTCCTGTTGACGTATGATAATAAAGGGGCCAAGTCCTCCGCGGCTTCTCATTGGCTGAGAAACGTGGACTCAGATGACGTGTTAGTTCCGGGTTCCTAGACCTCAGAGAAAAGGTAACTTTCGGTCATTTCTGGTTTTCAGACGCGACTTGACCGAGTTTTCCGCCTCTCAAGGTAAGAATGCAACAAGCCTCGTATCGTTAAGCGGGGTATCACTCTCTAGCTGATACTTTAATCTTATTATTGGCTTTATCCGTTAATATGAGCGTGTGTGTGTGAGTTAATTTGTTTACACCACAGCATGAACAGGTTGAAGGCGCGCATCCCTCGTRCGTTAACTTGCTCAGCGGTACCAGCAGGGGCGACAAGAGGCGGCTTTTGTCATCATTCGCCTGCCTCCATCCCCGCTATTATCCATTGTTAGACAACCGACATCTTATCTCGTCCTATTTTAGTGGGTTTTTGTCTTTAATGGCGACTTTATAATGGCTTCAAAATGTCGCAGTTTAAAAACAGAAAACCCCTCGAACATGCACGTGCGTCTGTTAGATTGACTGTTTGTTTTTGTTGTGAAACGGGTGATCCAGTTTGTTTCAGGTCGATTAGAACAACACTGAGGTTTTCTAAATCAGGATATTTGTTTGGTTGTCTGTTCGCTGGTGTTGTGTTGTAACAGCAGTGCTTCAGCAGCCAGTTTGYGTTTCCTGCGTCATCATTTAGAAACGGAAACCTTGGATGTCCTAAGAGGTGTTTCCCGTTTCCTAATAATCGACTTAAAAAATGAAATAAAATCACCACTGAAGTGCTGCACTGATTCCCCACCCTTTATTGAGCAGTTTTATTTATTCCTCAGATGCACACAGATCTGTGACGTACACTGGAAGCTCTGATTCACCTCATGTGAATCATGGCGCAACCAGGATGTGTGGGCCAGTCAGAGATTAACATCATCATCATCATCATTATTTCCTTTAGCTCAATGTCTGTGAAATTTAACACATTATAGCCATGTGTGTGTTTGTTGGCAGCCTGTGTTATGGTTGTACATCCAGTGATTCTAAAATATTCATTTTGACAGCTGTAAAATGAATAAATGTCTTACTCCTGTTGTGTTCAGCTGTCTGGAAAGCTCACTGGGACGGTTTAACCCACTCCCCCTCCTCTTCCTCATTGACACACTGAGTTTGCCCTAAAGTGGCCTTTTCACAGGCCACAGAGTGGGGCGAGCGTCTCATTGGTCGTCTGCAGGCACCATCACAGGGCTCTGTTTATTGGACCGGTGGTCAGTCTGGTCCGAGGGACACGTCTCCACATTCCTTCATCCCTTGATGACCTTTTTAGATAACCGCTGTTTTCTTAAATTGAGGTAAAACGCGTTGAAACCAAAAGGCGTTGAGTGGTTTTCACTCAGAAAGCTGTTGATTTAATCGAACGCTGATTGATTTATAGAGATTGAGACAGAGCAGGGGGAAGGTAAGTGGCATTACTGAGCGTTGTTTAACCAGTATTAAGAAACACTCGTGGTGGTAGGATTGGTTAGAGTGCTTTTCAAACACAGCTTGTAAGTATGGCACTTCTTTGTTTTAGGAACAAACTATTTTAAAAAGTAATGTGTTTTCTGTGAAGTCTGTCATCAGACAAAGTTGGTTCATCATTCAGCTTCCTTTTTTAAAACCACTGTTTTAAAAAAAAAAGATTTTTAACTTGTAATCTTTTCCTGCTGTGCTCTTTTTTTAATCTCAACTTTAGCTGACTCAGCGGGGACATTGGACCAAATATTTTTGTAAGACAGCTGCATGACCCCTAGAAAAACAGCGTGAGGAGCTTTTTTTTCTTCCCCCAAAACAAGTGAACTCTGGTTAAAAAACAAGAACTTTCCCAACTGCTGCTGACTTCCCTTCTGCACATCCAGAGACCAGCATGGGCGCCCAGTTAGACTCTACACTCCAGTCTGTCGTCCTCCTTCCGGTCCACTTCCTGATATGGCTGTACTCCGTCCTCTCCTTCCTACCTTGGTATTTCATCACTGGAGCCGGCCAGAAGAAATGCCAGTCCAAGCGAGTAAAGGCCTGCTCAACGTCAGGGAACCCAGAGGGTCCGTACCGTTCTGTGGACCACTTTGACTCCTTGGCCACAGAAGACTTCCCGGGCATAGACACCCTGGATAAGCTGTTCAGGCACGCTGTGCAGCGTTTCGGCCCGGATCATTGCCTCGGCACTCGGGAGATATTAAGTGAAGAGAATGAGATTCAGCCCAATGGCAAAGTTTTTAAAAAGGTAAGCAGATTCCTCCCAGTTACCACAAAAAACATTTTTTTTACAAAAAGGACCATAAGAATTATCACAAGAAAGCATTACTATCRCCCATCTAACATGTTTCTTCAGTTTATTAAAATTTWACGAGTTGGTTGAATATCATATTCTGCAGGTTATGTATAAACTAAAGCTCATAACAATGTGTTGCCTTCAAACAAATTCTATTAAAAGGGGAAATCTGTTATAATTTAAAGTGACTACAAATGTTTGTTAAACCAAAAATCCGAACAAATTTCAAGGACAGATGCACTTCATTAAAAGGTATAAG